TGCCTTTCCTGGAACTCACTTGGTAGCCCAGGCTGGCCTCGAACTCACAGAGATCCACCTGCCTCTGCCTCCCGAGTGCTGGGATTAAAGGCGTGCGCCGCCGCCCAGCAAAAGCTTTTCTTTAAAAAGAAAATTTTGTAGATTTATTTATACATATGAGAGCCTTGCCTAATTGTATGTATGTGTACCGTGTACATGCCTAGCACCTAAAGAGATGAGAAGAAGGGATTGGATTCCCTGGAACTGGAGTTAGAGGTGGTTGGGAGCCACTGTGTAGATGCTGGGGACCAAACTCAGGTCATTTGCAGAAAGAGCTGGTCCTTGGCTGGGTGCTACACAGAGAAACCCTGTCTCAAGAACCAAAAACAAGTTAATGAAGAACAGCCAGTCCTCAACCACTGAGCCATCTCTCCAGCCCTCCACAGCTCCTTTGTTTGTTTGTTTCTTTCTTTCTCTATCTTTTCCCAGTACTGATGATCCACCAGGCTTCTTCCACACTGTCCAAGAGCTCTACACTTGAGCCATGACTTGTGTTCTTTAAGCATCCTTCGCCGTGCCTGTTAGTGACTGAGTCTGATGCTTAGCTCTGTTGGCCGGAACAACCTCTTCTCAGGTGAGGTAACTTTGAAGCCTGCCTTAATCCTTTGTTTCTTCCTCCCCAGATCGGCTCCACCAGTGCCCCTGGCCAGGGAGGAATCCTCGCCCAGCGGGAGTTTGACCGGAGATTCTCCCCCCATTTTGTAAGCCTTTCTAGTATTGTCTCTCATCTTGCAGTGTGAGAACCTTCTCTTGGTTCTGGAAACCCATAGTCTCCTCAGAAAATCGATTGACTTGTTATTGCCTTACCTGATTTTTTTGTTTTCATATGGGAGACAGAGACACAGTTTTAGATATATTCCTGAGGTAATCCTGCCCAGATTTTTGTCAGATGAGCTCACAAGAGCCAGTACCATAAAACTGGCCTTTCTCTCTGGTCAGCCTTGAGCGGAAGCCTGTTTCATAGTTCTGTGTCACTTGGAAGGCCTCGGTAGGTTCAGTGGGTCATAGAATGTTGGGAGAGTTGCATAAGCTTACTTTTGGTTTCATTTTTTTAGGTTCTGGCTGGCCTGGAACTCAGAGAGATCCGCCTGCCTCTGTCTCCTGAGTGCTGGGATTAAGTCATGTGCCATGTCACCCAGCTGGAGCTTGGAGAGAATTTTTTAGGACTGACTAAACACTGAATGAAGGAATTCATTTATTCATCCAGAAGCTCTAAATAAGGCACAGTCTCTCACATTAAAAGTCAGAAGAGTGTTTGCCTAGCATGCACAAGGCCCTGGGTTCTACTCCAACACCATAAAAACCAGGCCTGGTAGCACACCTGTCATCCCAGCTCCCGGGGAAATGAAAGCAGGAGTATCAGGAGTTGAAGGTCATCATTAACTTTTTAGCCAGTTTGAGGCCAGCCTGGGCTCCATGAAACACCCTGTAACGTCAGCAACGACGAAATTCCCTGGTCTCACAGACTCAGGAAGGCAGTGGAGGCAAAGTGCTGTGGTCAGGTTTTACGCAGGGTCCTGGCGGAGCTAGAGGCAGCCCTGACTGTCCCATCTGAGTCTGGAGAGGGTGTATCCAGTCAGGAGGCAAGGCAGGGCAGACTTTGAAAGCAGCTGAGATGTGGCAAAAGCCCTGGTGATCCATGGCAGGTGCTCACCAAGGGCGGAAGGCAGCAGGGAGAAGTATGAAGGGACGGTCTAGTGTCCCAGGAGGCCTGGCTGTTAGGGACAGCCCCTTCTCAAGCTCTGTCTAGGATTTGAGGGAGGTGAGGCTTTGGCTCCACACCCTGAAAAATAGACTGGTCCGAGAGAGCCTTTTTGTCTGAGGAGAGAGGCCGGAACGTCCCTGGCAAAGCCCTGCTTAGAGCTGGGCCCTGCTGCTCCCTCCTCAACACGTCATTCCCTTGTTCCCGTTCTCTCTGCATCTCCTAAGCAAGCCCCTGTTTTCCTCCACAGCTGGACTGGGCAGCCTTTGGAGTCATGACCCTGCCCTCCATCGGCATCCCCCTGCTCCTGTGGTACTCCAGCAAGAGGAAATACGACACTCCCAAACCCAAGAAGAACTGAGTGCAGCTCCTCGGCCCTCTCTCCCAAGACACTGGTGTCTTCCAGACCCCATAGGGTACCAAGTGTGTTCTCTTGGCCCTTGGTCCATGGCCCTGTGCTCCTGGATCCTACCCTGAACTCAACCAGCATGCAGAGGGCAGGCCTGGGAGTTGGTGCGAGCCTCCCTGTCCTCGCTGAAGCCAGACAAACAGGACTCCCTTCAGCCACAGCTTTGGGCTTGAGGGCCCCACCACGGTGCTGTTGGTATGTTACTGGGCAATGTGAACTCTTGGGGGTCTAGGAGGGGCCCTTTGGACTCTGTCTGACACCCCCATACCCTGGCAGCTCCTCTCAACAGGGTGGAGGATGAAGTGAAAGCTGTGGGGCCTGAACAGGCTCTGCCTGCATCAGGGGCACTTACCAAATGGATTTTCTAATAAAAACTAATGCCACACCAACATGTGTGTCCTGCTGTGAACGACGGGACTTCTGGAGCCCAGGTCTTGAAGCTCCAGGTCAGGGCAAGCCAGTAGACTTTCTTGGCCTTGGGACGTGGTCTACTCGCAGGGATTTATCTGTTTGCTTTTGAACACTGTGGTCTTTTTTTCTGTCTTCACCTCTGTCACCACACACTCCCCTAAGCCTTCCTTGCCAGCTCTCCACAGCTGGAGATGCTTTGCAGAGGCTCTTTGCCCTGAGGGGCCTGATCTGTTTACTGACCTTTCTAGAAAACAGCCTGTTTCTAGCCCACTGTCTAAGGCAACGGTTCTCAACCTGTGGGTCAGGACCCTTTCACAGGGTCACATATCAAATATCCTGCATATCAGATAGTTACATTATGATTCATAACAGTAGCAAAATTATAAAGAAGTAACAAGGGCTGGAGAGATGGCTCAGCAGTTAAGAGCACTGGCTGCTCTTCCAGAGGCCCTGAGTTCAATTCCCAGCAATCACATGGTGGCTCACAACCATCTGTAATGAGATCTGGTGCGTTCTTCTGGTGTGCAGGTATACATACAGGCAGGACATTGTATACATAATAAATAAATCTTTAAAAAAAAAAAGTAACAATAATTGTATGGGTCGCAGCATTAGGAAGATTGAGAACTGGGCTAAGTATTAATTTTTAGGGATGGAGGGGGTGCTTAGTGGTTAAGAGCACTGGTGTTCTTTTGAACCTGGGTTCTATTCCCAGCATCCACATGGTAGCTTACAACCTCTGACTCTAGTTCCGAGGGATCCAATGCCCTCTTCCAGGCTGCTGGCACAAGATGCTCAAATGGTACACTCATACACAATATTTTTAAAATTATGTTTAAAAAAACTAAATAACAGGCTGAAGAGATGGCTCAGAGGTTAAGAGCACTGACTGTTCTTCCAGAGGTCCTGAGTTCAATTCCCAGCAACCACATGGTGACTCACAACTATCTGTAATGAGATCTGGTGCCCTCTTCTGCTGGGCAGGGATACATGCAGACAAAACACTGTATATATAATAAATAAATCTTCAAAACAAAAAACCTAAATGGCACCAGGCAGTGGTGGCGCATACCTTTAATCCCAGCACTAAGGAGGTAGAGGCAAGATCTCTGAGTTCCAGGACAGCCAGGACTACACAGAGAAACCCTGTCTTGAAAAACCAAAAAAAAAAAATGGCTCAGCAGTTAAAAGCACACACTGTTCTCACAGAGGACCCTGCTTCAGAAACTAACATCTATGTCAAGTGGACTTGAACTCTAGCCACAGGGGATCCAACCCCCTTTTATGACACCTGCAGATACCCACACACATACAAATAAAAGTTATTAAAGGAAATGGCTTCTCGAGTTTGAATTTATTTTGTTTTGAGATGGGGTCTCCTTATTGCACAGCCATGACTGTCCTGGAATTCACTCTGTAGACCAGGCTGGCCTCCAACTCAGAGATCCTCCTGCCTCTGCCTCCTGAACGCTGGGATTAAAGGTGTGCGCCTCCGGGAGGAAGTGGGTTTCCTTCGTCGGGCCCTTGCGCAGCCCGTGGCAAAAGTGGCTTCGGCTGCAGCAGCTTTGCGGAGAACGGACTCTGTCCAGCCCAGGAATGCCGTGGTCTGAGAACACCCTCCCAAGCAGGAGGAAAGCCCAACAAACAGCCGCTTTGTTTCTGCTACCAAGTTTTTCCCCTTTCCATTCCACTCCTCAGCTCCCCTGCCCGACTGGCTTAACCTTTCCTTTACCCAGCTGTGGGAGCCGCTGGGTCCCTGGAAGATGAAAAGGACGTGGAGACAACGCGAAGCTCCCAATGGGGTGGTCCTCAGCCAGCTCACATCCTTCTTTCAGGCCCTGCAGCTTGGACATCCCAGCGCCAGCCAGGTCAGAGAGCAAGACTGCTCTTGTTCATCGTGTTCCGGTGGGAACCGGGGAGTGCCCAGATTGGGGCGGGGTGAACAGGTGTGGGGGTGTATCGAAGGGGGAGCCCAGTGGGCAGGGAGGCCCTTGCTGTCTAGTACTGAACTATTTCCAGAGAGGGGAGCACTGTTTTCCCGTGTGTTTTCTGCTGGAGATACAGAGTTAAGCGGCAGGAGGAGGGCTCTCCTGCCCACAACAAGACGGGCAGGTGACAAAGCTGGGTTTTCTCCTTGGTGTACACTCTTGGGTGGTCTCTTCTGGACAGCTAGGGGGCTCTCTCCTTTCCCTTGCACGGCTCGGCGGCACTGTGAGAACTGGTGGGGAAGGAGATGAGACGGGAACCCAGGAGCTCACAGATGACAAGCATGGGTCCTTTGAAAAGAGGCCAAACTGGACACTCCATCTCTCAAGGGATCAGCTGCCCCCGAGTCAGGGTGGAATTTGAAGCTCCCTGGAATAGAGGCTGCCGAGAGTATACGGACTCCTGGAGTCTGTAGACAGACTGGGTGCACAGTCGGCTTCCGGACCGCCCTTGTCAGCTCAGGCAATCTGTTAGGAGGATGCGTGCCAGCGGATTTCCTTATACAAAACCCAAAACCCTCAAGGGTGTGAGCGCTGATCTCAGGTTGTAGGCAGATCTGTGCGAGGAGAAGGGAGATAAGCGAGCACCTCATCACCCTGAAGACTGAATGCCCAAACTGAGGCTCCATCCTAAAAGGATAGATAGTCACCCTGAAAGTGCCAGGTCCCCTCTACCTTGTGCAGAGCAGCCATCTAGTCCTCCCGTGGCACCCAGGCAGCTCCTCAGCCCCACTCAGCTCCGGGCCAGAGGCGGTCAGTTGCCTCCATTTCCGCTCCCCTCACATCTTGGCCGTCAGATCCGGAGAAAGTAGGAGAGTCAACCCTGCAGAGAGAACAGGGCAATTTAGTGGAGGCACAGGAAGTTGTCTCCCTTGAACTCACAGCTGGGGCTTGAGGACCAGCGCTGACCACACAGAGTCGGGGCAACTGGGTGCCAGGATGGCCACCAGTGTTGACCTCAGTAGTCCCCATCTTGGAGCCCGCATCTGGACCATCACAGATGATTTAACAGGGATTTCCGTGGAATCCTCCCCACCAAGGTGGCAACAGACGTTTCTCCTGTGTTTTCACGAAGAAGCAATCACCCACCATCCCCTTCTCGTATTTGGCTGGGGCATGTAGGAAAGGGTCCATAGTTCCTTCTGGCAGCAGCTGTCTTTCCTCTCACACCACAGCAAAGGATGGCTGACCATTGAATGAAAAAACAAAACAAAAACAAACAAGAAATAGAAAGGATGACTGGTTCTCCTGCTCCCGGGTGTGGTGGAGAAGAAAGTTTATTACAGTTATGTGGGAGAGCAGAGCCAGAGGCCGGGACCTCTGGGAGAGTGTCCAGACTGAGCTGGGCCATGTGGGGAGAGGGAGGAGAGGAAGGGAGAGGGGAGAGATGGGAACCAGGTGCAGCATCCAAAAGATCCAAAATACAGAGAGCAGGTGACCAAGATGGTTGGATTATACAGGGAAGAGCAGCCCAAAGCCCTGAGCTAGAGCCTTTAGGGTAGGGGATGGGGTCTGCTAACCAGGAGGGCCCTGTACCAGGTGGGGGCTGAGGGATGCAGGGAGAACCTGGCAGCCAGGTCCACTTTGATCTGTCAAAGAGGCATCTCAGCCATTTGTCCCAGGCTTAAAACCTAACAACCATAAGACAGCTAATATAATTATTTTATTTGACCGGTCACAAAGAACAAAGTGAATGAGCTTACCCAAAGATCACCAGCAGATGGCAGTTAGCATGTTTATTTTTACTTGTTTTTTGAGACACAGTTTCAAAACTTGTCTCTGTATAGCCTGAACTCACTACATAGCCCAGGCTGGCCTGGCCCCCAGGGTGGTGTGGGCCATCACACTGGCCCACAGCGTGTTTCCTGAGTGACTGCTACCAGTCCACGTTGCCCATTTACTGCCCTACTTTACAAAGGAGGGATAAAGCATTTAATACGTAATTTGTCCAAGGTCCTGTAAATAACGAGTTGTCAGAGGCAGTAAATCTTCCAACAAACCCTATCCAGTAGCCACAGGATCCTTAGAGAAGCATGCTCCCAGTTACCTCCGGAAGTCCAATGTGTGCTGAGCTGCCCTCTGCCCTGGAGCGAGAAAGTGAGGGTGAGTCCACCACACCCCCTCAGTTACCAAGGAAAGGGTGGAGGAGTTGGTCAAATATCCTGTCGCCTGGTACCCAAAACAAGCCATGCCATGTGTGTGTATGCTGAGTGGCTGGTCACCCTGTTCCTGTCAGGGCGAGGGCCCTCCTCACCTGTGATCTCTCCTCCCAGTACTCTTATCACATATAAATACAGTCCTCCCTCCTCCCTCCGCTACTGTAACCTGCCTCTTAAAGGGACCAAAGAGCAGTTTTTAAGCCAACTCTGAGAGAGCCCAGAGAACCCTACTGACCTCAGGGAAGACCTTGCTGTTAAGTAGCTGCGACTCTTGCCCTGGGATGATGTTCCCTTTTCCTTCCTCAGCTTCTCCCTGTCCCCTGCTAGAGGGAAGAGAAAAGTTCCCTAGTTATCTGGGTCCCACATCCACCCGCCTCAGGGTGACCCTATCCTGGGTTCCCACACCCGTTTCCACAGGAGCCTGAGGCCTGTGGCTACCCTTTGTTCAGGGAATGCAGAGGGCAGGGCACTGGCATCGAAAGGGTTAAAGGCCTGGCCACAGAACTGTCTAGGTGTTTGAAGTAGGGTGGGGAAGGGAAGGGCTGGAGCAGTTGAAGAGGCTGCTGGTCAGGACTGGAGTGAGTGCCCCCTGGCCCCCTATGCAAACTTCTGGACCATGAACAGTTCCTGTAGAGGGACCAAGGGAGAGGCGGACCTACCGAGGTGCTGGGAGAGACCCTTAGGGGGGCTGCCTGGAGCAGGACGGGTGCCCATACTGAAGTCACCAGCTGAGGGCCAGAACAGGTTTCCCATCTTCGGCACCTCTCCCAGGTCTGGTGAGTCTCTTCCTCCCTTTCCTGGGTCCTTACTAGAGAAATGTTCATTCTTCAGGGAGCAGAGGTGTGCGGGAACTCCTCAGCACCCCGGAGGTGGGGAAAGAACGTACAGTTCTCTCCAACATCTCACTCTCACGTTCCCTTCCCATTTGTGATTGGGGGCAGTGTGAGTGTGTGTGTGTGTGTGTGTGTGTGTGTGTGTGTGTGTGTGTGTGTGTGTATGCATGCAAGTATGCAAATAGGAAGACAAGGAATCACAATAATGGCCAATGGCTAATTAACACAACTTGTGTAGGAAATGTTTCTAAATCCTTTCTATGCTTTCTTATTCAATCATTAGAATCTTGTAGGGCTAACCTACTCAGTTCCTCTATTAAATACGAGGTCTAAAGGACTTAAATAACTCATCTGTGTCGATTAAGATGTAAGGTGTAGGACTAGGTTTCAAATTCAAGTTTATTTGACATCCAACTTCATTGTGTTATCATCACGAGAAAAAACAAAACAAAATCCCACTGTCATTTTTATCTTTATGGTGGCGGGACTGGAACCCAGCACCTCTGCAAGCTGAGCTACAGCCCACCTGGGGACTGTCACTTTTACTTTTCTCTTTCCTTTCCTTTCTATTTTTGTTCGTTTGTTTTTTGAAACAGGGTCTCACTATGTAGCTCTAGCTGTCCTAAAACTCACTATGTAGATCTGGCAGACCTCGAACCCACAGAGACTCACTTGCCTCTTCCTCTGGAGTGCTGGGATTAAAGGTGTGCACCACCATACCAAGGCTCCACTGTGTTTCTAGCAACGTGGACACCAAGGATGGCCGCAGGATCTGGGAACCTGGAGGCTCAAATGCCCCACCCAGCACCTCTTGTGTCTGGAAGTATTTTTTTTTAATCCTAGAAGAGTTAGTATGAAATGTCACATGTTACCCAAAACCTTTAAAAGATTTTGGTGTAATAAGACATGCCATTTCTCCTTAATTTTGAAGGGGTAGGAGGGGCAACCAACACACATCTTGTTTGAAAAAATACCATAATCAAATCTAATTCCTTATAAGATGATCAAGACTGTGAATTTAAATGAATGTGTAGAGTTAAGAAGCTTTATGATTTGCACCTTTATGATTCAGTGAAGTCAGTTGGAAGGGAGTAAAAGGTGGGGGGACCCCGGCCGGGGATGTAGCTGTGTGGTAAAGCTCCTGCACAGCATGAAGAAGGCCCTGTGCTGAGCCCAGGGGCCACAAAACAGACACAGGACCACTCACTGGTTCCTGAAGCCAGGCTCTTCCAGAGTAGAGCAGTGGTTCTCAGCCTTCCTAATGCTGCGCCCCTTCATGGTGTGCTGACCCCCAACCATAAAATTATTTCATTGCTACTTCTTAACTGTAATTTTGCTACTGTTATGAATCATAATGTAAATATCTGATATATAGGACATGTCACCCTAGGGGTCGAGACCTTTCCTATTGTCCTATCAGGAATTACCAGCTCTGCCAACTACTTTTAGTGTTTCCTGGGATCTTCCGGGTTAATTCCCTGGGCCACTGTGGCCAAAGTCTGCTCAAGTCTCTGAACCTCAGACTTCTTGCCCCACCCTCCTGGCACAGACGCCGCCGCAGTGCCTGCCGGAAATAGCAGGAGAGTTGCCGGTACCGGTACCGTGGAGGTCTTTGCTCTCTACTCCTGCACCCTGCTGACTGACTGGGGCCTGGGGCTCCTGCACAGAAACAGACAGTTACAAGCCCAGGAGGGGGGTGGAGTGGGGAGGAAGACAGGATCCCTAAATTCAGTTTGCAAACCAAACAAAGCTGACGATCACCTGGGGAAACAGCAACATTCCGGACTGATGTGTGAGCGCTGAGTATCCCGGAGCAGAGGGTGGGGTGGTGTTCGAGATGTCTGCTCGGCGACTTGGAGGAGTGTGTGGTTAGATTAGGTCTGGGGATGCTTGACTACCTTCCCAGCTTGGAACTTCTGGAATTTACTAACAGTAAAGTCAATAACCCTGCACTGTGGGCCCTGGCTTCGGGTGGGTGACTGTTCGTCGTCACCCCAGAAGCTTATCTAAGTGGATGGATTTTAGCCACACAGCTTCTGCCCGCCTTCACATTGATAGACTACTGGTCCTTCTGGGTCCTTTTCTCCGTGCTGTGTATGTAAGCACACTTAGTTGTGTTAGTCTACAGTGCTGGTTGCTGGATGAATGGATCTCCTCTACCCCTCAAACCTCCACCACCACCACCATTTTGGGGACTGTACTGTTCTCTGGCATTGACAGGAAAGTCAGAGAAAGTAAAGGCTCCAGAATGCCAGCACTCGGCCAAGGCAGGCTGATGGCGAAGACACAGAACATTCCTGCCATGGATGAGCTGCCCTGTATCCAGGGTCAGAAAGGAAGGGCAGTACTTCCTGACGCTAACAGAAGCCCTGCTCCTCTGTGGGACTCATGGCTTTAGGGCTCTGTTGCTGTGATAAACACCATGACCATAAGCAACCCGGCAGAGAAAGGGTACATTTCATCTTACAGCTTACAGGAAGTACATCATGTAGAGAAGTCAGGGCAGGAACTTAGATGCAGGAACAAATGTGCAGAGGCCATGAAAGAACACTGCTTGTCCCCCATGTCTCCGGGGTGGTACCCCCAAAGTGGGCTGGACTTGTTCATATTAATCATTAATGAAGAAAATGCCACACAGGCCAATCAATCTTATGGAGACATTTTCTCAGCTGAGGTTCCTTCTCGGATGACCTGGTGGCTTGGGTCAAATTGACAACACAAAGACTCGCCAGCCCAGTGGTTTACCTTTTTCCTTTTTTTGGTTTTTCCAGACAGGGTTTCTCTGTGTAACAACTCTAACTGTCCTGGAACTCGCTCTGTAGACCAGGCTGGCCTTGAACTCAGAGATCCACCTGCCTCTGCCTCCTGAGTGCTGGGATTAAAGGCGTACGCCACCAGACCTGCCCAAAATTTATTTTTTGTGTGTGTGTATGTGTGTGTGTGTATGTGTGTGTATGTGTGTATGTGTGTGTATGTGTATGTATGTGTGTATGTGTGTATGTGTATGCATATGTATATGTGTGTATGTGTGTGTGTGTATGTGTGTATGTGTATGTATGTGTGTATGTGTGTGTATGTGT